GCTGATTCCTGGGATGACAGAACTGGCATATGAGGAGAGATTATATTGGTTAGGATTGTATTCAGAAGAATGAGAGGGGGTGGATTCCATAGAGACCTACAAAATTTTATCAGGACTAGACAGATTAGATCCAGGATGGATGTTCCCAGTGACTGGGGAATCCAGAATCAGGGGTCACGGTCTAAGGATATGGTGTAAGCTATTTAGGAGTGAGAAGGGGAAAAATATCTTCACCCAGAGAGTGCTGGGCTAGTGAAATTTGCTAGCACTGAAAGCAGTCAAGGTCAAAATATTGCATGATTTCAAAAAGGAGTTGAATTCAGCACTTGGGGGTAAAGAGATCAAAGAGTATGGGGGAAAACAGGGGAACAGGCCATTGATCAGCCATGATCATATTGAATGACAGAGCAGGGTTGAGGGGCCAAATGACTTACTCTTGTTCCAATTTTATATGTTTCTATTATTAAATTAGCAATTGAAAGAGCAGGCAGAAATTATGAGCATTGTAAATCCCTGATGTTGCCTGGAAACTATGCTTGGAGATGCTACTTGGCACATTGAGCTTATAACAACTCCCTCAACCAGCTCGTGACATCTTTTTTCAATTCTCTGCCCAAAGGTAGGCCCTTAATAATTATTTGCTAAGTGCTGTTTTTGGTTTGGAACCTTGTGCTGTTGGTGTTAATCAAGTCTATGTGTTTGCTAACTAGTTAATTCAGCTAATGACTTCTAACCCTCCCAGCAACCTAGTCTCAATCATTCATCCTTTCTCCAAGACTTTACAGTTTTAGTTTTCTGAGCACCTGAATGCTTCCATATCTGTGATTGATTTAGCCTCCGTCAGTGTTCTTAGTTAGACATTCCATGTTGAGCAAATCTTTGTGGAAAATAGCAAAATCAAATTCAAACACTTCTTTCCAACCACGTCTGTATAGTTACTCTGTAGTTTTACTTAATACTCTGTATCCTTGTTTTTATTTCATTATTTCTCAGGATATGGGCATTTCTGGATGAGCCACCCTTTACCTAGCATCCCTAATTGCCCTTGAGAAGGTGGTGGTGAGTTTCCACCTTGACCTGAGCAATCCATGTCCTTCCTAAAATAGGCTTCCTAAAGGACCTTCAACAGCACCTTCTAAACCTGCAGGCTGTACAGTTAGAAGGGCAAAGGTAGCAAATGCATTGGAATACCACCTGTAAATACCCCATCTAAGCCAGTTATCGTCCTGACTTGAAAATGTATCGCTGTTTCTGGATCAAAATCCTAGAATTCCCTCCCCAACTGCATTGAGTCTCCCTACACCCCAAAGACTGAAGAGATTAAGAACGTGGCTCACCATCAGCTTCACAAGGGTGACAAGGGATGATCAGTTAGGCCATTTTTGGAAAACCATGTTCTGTTCTGGTCTCCTTGCTATAGGAACGATGTTGTGAAACTTGAAAGAGTTCAGCAAAGATTTCCAAGGATGTTGCCAGGGTTGGAGCGTTTGAGCCATAGGGAGAGGTTGAATAGGCTGGCGCTATTTTCCCTGGAGCGTCAGCTTCTGAGGTTGTGACCTTATAGAGGTTTATAAAATCATGAGGGACATGGATAGGGTGAATAGTCAAGATCTTTTCCACAGGGTAGGGGAGTGCAAAACTAGAGGACATAGGTTTAAAGTGAGAGGGGAAAGATTTAAAAGGGACCTAAAGGGGCAACCTTTTCACGCAGAGGATGGTGCGTGCCAGAGGAAGGAGTGGAGACTTGTACAATGACAACATTTAAAAGGCATCTGGATGGGTATATGAATAGGAAGGGCTTAGAGGGAAATGGGCAAAATGCTGGCAAATGGGACTAGATTAGTTTAGAGTATCTGGTTGGCATTGACGAGTTGGACCAAAGTTCCTGTGCTGTACATCTCTATGACTCTGTGATCCTATCAGCAAAGGCTAGCCTAGCCCACATTGCGAAGTAACAGGGTTACATTCGGGCTCTTTTCCAGGGCCCACCCGCTCCCATTTGCTTCCCTTCTTTGTTTTACTTTTGCTTTTGGTCTTTCCTTTCACTTTATTTTCTCTCTTTTATTTTGGGCCTTTTCTCTTCTTTTCTGTGGCGGTGCAGCAGCGAGAGTGTCCTCCTGCCATTTGGGGCCCGTGGCAGTGGCAGCAGTGGACTCTTCAAAATGGCGGCACTAGCAAGGCAACATCTGTAGCTGACCTGGGCCTCGTGGCCTGGCAGTGGATTGGCCTGGCAGCAGAGCCAGGGGCTCTTGGTTGCGGGGCGAGTGTGGGTTCAGTGGCATCAGCAAAGTGGGCCCAGTGGTGAAGAGGTAGTGCCTAAAATGGGATGACTCCTACATTGGTGGGCCTGGTGCAGGTGGCAATGAGCCTAGGTGCTAGCATGGACTGGGTCAGCAAGACTGATAGTCTGAACATTTTACTTCCTTATTTTTCTAGTTTATTCCTATGATCTGTAATGCTGGACTGTTAATTTCTTTACTTTTCTATTTTCTTATGTTTCCTAAGAATTTGATCTTAAGCATCTGCACCTAGGTACCTTTGTACCTAAGATGGCACCGTAGTGCAGCGACTGTAAACTTTTCACTGTCACTCATTTGAGTACATGTGACAATAAAGCTAATTCAATAATTCAAATCAATTCATTGTAGGACTTAATTAAAAAAAGGGACATTTTTTAATTGTAACCTAGCCAATGATTTCTATTGTTTTCAACTTACTTCTTTGCTGGTAATTTTGATGCTGGAAGGTGTAATAAAATGGGTGGCAGGAAATGGACATTTTCTTAATTTCTATGGAAACTATCCATTTTCCATGATTACACAGAGTCAGAATGATCCTGTTTGTGCCTATTTATGTCCTAGGACTGCCCCCAAGCTTTTAGTAATCTCAAGGATCAGGGGATGTTAGTTTGAAAAGCTAGGTAGAAACAGTACTGAAGCCCTTTTCAATCTTAGACTCAGTTCATATCCATTTCTTTTCATTTCTGCTTGTTTCCATCCACCTATGCTGATTGTTACATTAACTTTCCAGTAACACTATTTGTTTCTATTATTATTCAGCTAATTTTAGTGCTTTGTTATGATAAAAGGACATAGATCAAGATGAGATATCTTAATTGGAACACTTTCTGCTTTAGGCACTCAGAATCAAACACTGAGACAACAAGGTGCAGGGCTGGATGAACACAGCAGGCCAAGCAGCATCATAGGAGCAGAGAGGCTGACGTTTCGGGCCTAGACCCTTCATCAGAAAAGGGGGAGGGGAAGGGGGTTTTGAAATAAATAGGGAGAGAGTGGGAGGCGGATAGAAGAGGGATAGAGGAGAGGATAGGTGGAGAGGAAACAAACAGGTCGAAGAGGCGGGGATGG